TTTATATTGGTTTTTTCCTAGCACTCTAGATGTTTTATTAACTCATCTGTCATGACCAGTGTAAACAGAAGCCGCAAAAAGAGATGCCCTGTAGTGAGAGCTATCAAGTCAAATGAGAAAGATCTCAGAGGCATGAGGAGTCAAAGGATATAAGTTTTGGAATATGGGGTGGGGAAACCAGCTATACTTTCTCCAGGTAAATGTCGTCTTTCTGGTTTGTCTTTGGAGCAGCGTGCATGAGCGAGGAGACCAGCAGCCAGAAGCAGCAGCCACAGCAGCACGTGGCCAGTTGGCCAGGGAAGCAGGTGGAGACTCTAAGGCTGTGGGAAGAAGCTGTCAAAGCCAGGAAGAAAGGTAAGCCTGGTCTCCACCGGTGAAGAGAGAACTGGAGCCGCGCTTCCACTGGGGGACCAGCCCCGTGACAGTACTGTGTGCGTAGAAATGTCTGCTGAGGTTGAGTGATTGGCAACAAAGCTTCCAAATAGCTTTTTATTATTAGAAAATAAAAATTCTTGGTGCTTACCATGTCCTTTCTTTGGATTTACTTTTTGTTACAAATTTGGAGACAAATTGGGTCCTTCACTTTAGTCAGAGTTCCAGTTTTGTTCATTTTGTTGACATCCCAGTGTTACGGGTTCCTTTTCCTTGTAAAGTAGCCCCACTGTTAGAGGCCCATGAAATAACATCCTTGTGTGTGCACAAGTTCATTTCCTAACGACTGTGTTGACTTTTTGCTCTTGTACTATCCTTTATGTGGTGTATTTTGTTGTTGTTATTTACTTTTAAGACTCTGTGGGACTGGCGTCTGTTCATTGGTCTCACCCTAATGTTCTCCGTGACCAGGGCTGGCCTTAGCTGGACATGGCCTATGCTTCTGCTGGTAGAGATGCCGCTGTAATTGTTAGAAGCCACGAGAACCCTTTGCTTTGTTCTCTTGTCTTCATGATCAGCTGAAGAATCAATTTAGCATACCTTTTTGATTTGGCTACGTGTTGGGCTGCTCACTGTGAGGTCAGGCATTTGAAGCCACCTGCTGCTCCTTGAGGTAAAGCCAGGGCTTTCTGCTTTTGTGCAGCATCGCAGCCTCAGGAGCCTACAGGGGCACTTCTGTCCTGTCCTATAGGGCCACCAGGGTTTGGGATCAACTCGAAGGCAGGGAGTGAGAGGCCCAGCTTGGGCTTCTGGTAGTCACTTTGTCACTGTGTCCTCAGGCAAACTCCTAAATTCCTCCTTTTCCCCACCCCAGCCATATCATACTGTTGTAGTTTCCATTCAGAAAGCAGTCCTCTGCATTTGGGCCGTTCTGCAATTCCTTTGTTTCTCTGTAGTGGGGCTGATCTTTCCCTCAGATCCCTTCTAAATGTCCAGTGTTTGGAGGGGAAGAAAGGAGCAGGTCAGATGGGCTTTCAGGCTTAATTGAGAGGCTTGCTTGTAGAGAGTTAAAAGTGTGTTTGAGAGAATGTCTGATTTAGAGGAAACGTAAGATTGAAGAGAAAATTGGTGGGGGTGGGGTGCCATGCTAGGCAAGGGCAGGCTGCACCCAGGGGAGAGGAAAGACGGGCAGAGGAGATCCTTAGCAGTGCTCCCAGCACCTCAGATGTGAGGCGGTTCCCTCTCTTGCTTTCTTCTTTCTTTCCACGCGTTTCTATCTGGTATTGTATTTCAGTTTGCTTGTGCAATAAAACTGAATTGTTTAGCTCATCTTCTGACCTCTGTGGGACAAAATGCAATTGCGTTCCCCTTCATAGCATGAACCTTTCTGGAAAGGACCACTGATTAGTTTAGTAAATGTCACATCTTGGTAGGAGAGGATTCCTGACTGGAAAACCTGAAACTTGAATCAGCAGTGCGCCTTAATTATTGGACCTCTCAGTAATGTGTATGCTCGAGTAGAAGCCGACCCGAATATCAGCCAAGGCATTTCATTTTACCACAAAAACGGCATTAAAAATGTGCTTAAAAACCCGGTTTATACATGAGTATATATGGTAAGTTCTCATTCGGAATCATCATCTAGGGAGCTTTTCACACATAGATTTTTCAGGTCCCATCTAAATTTCACTATTGCGTCTCCAGACAATTCCTTGTTCAGAAAAACTCCTGAGTAGGTGATCTGGATCATCAGCTATGTTTGGGCATCCTTGATAGGAAGTGTGCCAAACTCACATCAGGTTGACCAGGAGCTGCTGCTTATTGACTGTCTAATGGCTTAGGGGTTGCCCTAAGGGGTGTGCCCCTACCACCCACCACCCACCATTGGAAGTGTGCAGACCTCCACCTTTCGTCTCAAGTGCATTTCTCCACTTGCCAGCTACATCACAGCCAACCCCTCCCTCCCGTCGTTCCCACACTGCTACAAAGCAGCAGGTAGTGTCGAATTTTATGTCCGAGAATTGTCACCTTTGAGGGTAGTTTTCTTTAAGAAGTGCCCAGGTTTTGCTAGATAGCAAGGCCCAGGGGCCCCAGCGCACTGCAGGCTCTCCTTGTTTGGCTAGTCCTCCGTGGTGTGACAGGGAGCACGAAGTGGGGGGTTATGTTCACCAGAAAGAGAGGAGGACATGGCAGTGGGAAGCAGAGTGTGACGCCGTGGAGGACTCGTTTGGTTCCCTCTCCGTCATCAAAAAGGAGCCCTCCTGGTGGGGTAGTGATGAAAGGTCCGCAGTCACTGCGGGGGAGAAAGACGGGGCTCTGTACTCCTGTAGACAGCTACAGTCTTGGGGACTCACAAAGGCACGATGAGTCAGCATCAGCTCAATAGCAGTGGGTTTGGGTTAACATCATTAAGAAATAGAACCAAGAAGCAGCAGGATTATTGAATTAGAGCCGTTTTCTAAGACTGAAATAAACCAGTAATGATAAAATACCTTGCTTCTCAATCCTAATTATGGGTTTTTTACCCCCTAACAGATGTAGGTTCACTCAGAAGGCATTGACGCACATGCCAGTGGCTCTGCCCCCCCCCTCCCCTCAGGCAGTTAGCGTGGTCTTAGGAGGGCTCTCTGTAAACCACCGGCTCAGTTCTGTCCACAGACGGCTCTCCTGCCGGTGGTGCGCTCTTCCTAGGAGTGTTTAGAATCAGAGGAACCGCATGAAGCATTTAGCACACTCGGTGTTTCTGCCCTCCGCACCCCCCCCCTTTGCCAGCCCCTTGAAGAAGTTAATTGAGCCTTCCAGCATCACGATGAGGTCGGTAAGTAAATTTGAACTTGAAACCACACATGCAAGACTAAACAAGTCGCCCAGGTTCTTGCAGGAGGTTTAGCATCAGAAAGGAGATCCGCGCCCTGGGCTTCCTGCCCCTAGACTTCTGCTCAGAAGGCTTCTCCCTCCCTGGCGGCCGCTTGGTTGACAACTGTAATTTAATTGACTCTATGGTGTCCTTTTTAATTAAAAGAATTTGATTCAGAAACGCTTTGTGAATCTGGTTCACTGTTTGGGGAGTCTAAAGGCCCTTTTGTCTTCTCCTTTTAGAAGCTGCTAACCTGTGCCAAACCTCCACGGCTGCTACGACCCCTGTGACTCTCTCCACTCCATTCAATATAACGTCCTCCGTGTCGTCTGGGACGATGTCAAACCCAGTCACAGTAGCAGCTGCAATGAGCATGAGAAGTCCAGTAAACGTTTCAAGTGCAGTTAATATAACCAGTCCAGTGAACATAGGACACCCTGTAACTATCACCAGTCCATTATCGATGACCTCGCCGTTAACACTCACTACCCCAGTCAACCTCCCCACCCCAGTCACTGCCCCGGTGAATATCGCACACCCTGTCACAATCACGTCTCCCATGAACTTGCCCACGCCTATGACGTTAGCTGCCCCTCTCAATATAGCAATGAGGCCAGTAGAGAGCATGCCTTTCTTGCCCCAAGCTTTGCCCACATCGCCGCCTTGGTAAACAGTATTATAAAATCAAAATATGAGTTTAAAGTAAATATTTACCAGCAACTTATTTTTAGTTGAGTAAAGCAAAAGGTAAACCATGAAATGGAGAGGTTTTACCATTAGTTAATAAGAGAATAGTAGCGTTTTTCTCCAATTTGGCTGGAATTGTTCAAAGTAAAGTGTGTATGTAACTTATCATCGGACCACTTTAGTTTAATCAAAAATCCCTTGTAGCTCACAGCATTGCTTAAATGAGATAGTAGCTGGCAGGATGAAATGTCAACATTAAAACCAATCATGACAAAGTAAAACCCCTTTCAGAGTAAAACAAAATAGCACCACTGTTTCTAATCCCAAGAAACCATTTTATTCTAAACAGTAGCAGGACTCTTCTCCTCTATGGAAGATATTGGTGACCAGATGACTGGTTTTAACCTGAAGTTCTAAATTCACACATTAAAAGCTAGTGTAGAATAGCTTGTGTTTATTGTTTTTATGAGTAAATACATGCATTGTCATAATAAAATGCATTTCAGAGAATATGCATTTTACCTTTGGGAATATGTTAATTTCAGGCAGCATTCCCTATGGGAAAGGTGATACCAGCTCTGATATGCAAAGCATATGATAATTTATCATTCTAACTTCAACATATAATAGGGATTGTGACCTGATATTTGGAGATGTAAATATTGCTCAGCATATTAATCCTGATGGAATATAGCATTGTAGTTGACTTTTTTTTTAATAATAATTTTAAAAATCAAAAAAAAAGAAGAAGAAGAAGAAGAACCGAACCAAAATCTACAAATTGTGTTTTGGTCAGAAAAGGCCGCCCATGCAGAAAAGTCAGGTGCGGACAGGCAGGCCAGCGGGGCTCCTGCGCAGGCGCCAAGGCCTGCTTTGGGGCAGTCCGCGTGCTTGCTTTAAGTTGGAGGACGCTGGAGGCACTGGGATGCGATACGCCCCCCCCACCCTCTCCCAATCAGAGCCTGTTGGTGTTACGACAGGGACAGGTGTGTTAGTTGCTCACTAGAGCTTATGTCTTATATTAAATTGTATACAGTTTTTATTCTAACCACTAACTAGGTAGTACACCCCTTCAGAACATGCAGAGTGCGTCTCTCTTTTTTAAATTTCCTTCCGTTTCTTAATCAAGTATTGTGCAGATTTGTTCAACTCTGTAAATACGGACATCATGTGTTTTTGGTTTGTTTTGGTTTTTTCCCTTTGAGAAAACACTCGTATCAGCTTCATGATGTTTCAGGGAGATGGCTGCCTGCGCTCCCCGTGGAAGCCCAGCAACGCATGCACCTTGAGGCATGCGCTGCTGGTTTCTCAGCAGGTGTTTCTCTCTGTACAGGAAGTAGAAATCCAAAGCTAGGGAAACATACGCTCACACCATCATGCCACACACCCATGTTTTTAAGACATGTGTTTAGACAAAAAAAAAGTAAAACCAAGATGCTGTGATTTGTTTTTTTTTTAAGTTGCAATATGTTTGGGGTTTCACTTTGTTTTACCTTTTCATTAATCTTGCAGTTAAGAGAAATGGAAATTAGTTGTTCATCTTGCAGAATGTTGCAGGACTGACTATCAAACTGGATGACTTCCGTTTATCCCCCACTGTGTCAGTTCAAGCATCAAACACCTTGCATCTGAGGCAGACTTCCTACATCAGGGACAGGTATCTGTGTGTCATTATACAAAACAGTTCTAGGGGGCTGAACTACATAGTAAAAAAAAAATAGTACTTAGTGTAAAATAATTTTATAAATGATCTTTTGTACTTTAGGACATTAAATTGTACAACTTTTGTATATATAAAAAGCTTAGGAACTTTCTGTTTAGCAGGAAGGCAACACATTCCTACACTTTTAATGTATATGTTTGTTATAATGTCCATGTAAACATGCCCTATGTTTGTGCCTTTTAGTTTGTCTCAATAAACAAAATGTAGAGAAAAATATGTAGCTATGACTTTGTTACAGCTGTTCTTATCCACAGTACAAAGATCGTTTGTTTTAATATGTAGAGCATTATGTGTGGACTACTGGAAGGACTTGTATAGGGAAGGCCCAGACATGGCCCTGCTGAGGCCTGGATGTGGATGGGCAGTGGCCACATTTGGAGGAAGCCCACATTTCCTGGCACGTAGCTCCGGGACCTGGTTCTGGCTCTGCCTGCCGGGACCTTTCATCTCCCCCTGGCTGGGCTGGCAATCTCAACCATCCACCATTCTGACTTCCCAGGCTTCCTCCCCAGGGGCCCCAGGAGCAGTCCTCAGTGGGGGCAGGTGTGGGGACTACCCCCAGACTAGAGTGTGGTCTTCAGAACCCTGAAAGTATTAGTTCTTTTAAAATAAAGAAGAAGAAGATATTTACTAGAAATGATTGTTTTATCAATTCATTGTATAATAAACAGGAGTGAGACTTCATTGTATGACTTCAGTTAAAATGCTATTTTATATGCGTTCTTTATCCACTTAAGAAGCTTGTCTGCAATAACAAAGCCACGCCGTGTCTTCTTCTGGGAGGGGAGAGTTGACGACAGTATGAGGGTGAGGGCAGGCCACCGAAAGGGAGGTGCAGGTAGGTGGTATGGTGAGATTCTCCTGTGGGTTAAGCACCGGACTTGAGTCTTGATGCCGATGAACTGATTCAGCCAGGTGTGGAAAGCGCGTCGGACCCTGGTCTACGACAAGGCAGAGCATGCTTTCCCTTCTGATTATCGCCTGGTTGGGCTTCCCCTTTATCCGATTGGCAGCTAAACAGTTGTATTAGATAATCCTCAAATCTGACATCCAGCCTGTTCTGCTCTAGGGCTCGCTGCTCAGCCTGCGTTTGCCTTTTATTGTGTACCCATTTCCCTCCTACGGTGTGCTCCTAAATGAAGGTTTCTATGTAAGCAGATGATGATGATTTTACCTGTCAATACCAGCACTGTATTACTAACATGCAAAATACTGCAGATTTATTTTGACAAATTAAAGTTAACCGGTCACAACTGTTATGGATTGCTTTATACCTCAGAAGCTTCACAGTCCACTAGAATGAAACGTTGGAAGGCTGCTTCTCCGGGTGTACACAGCTCAGGGGGGGGTAGGGGGGAGGCTGGGAGAGAGGCAGGGTGGAAAGCCACCAGACTACGGGAAGGGCAGTCCCCTGCCAGCTCGCTCATTCAAAGCTCGGAAGCCAGGCCCTGGGCCAGTAGCCACAGACTCTCCCGAGAGAGGAAGATGGGTGACGAACATTTCTTCTCATGTGCTAGGACAGTGCTTTACAAATCCTGCCCTGTTATGGTAAGGGCTTTCATACTTGAAACTGTAATACCAGTGACTCGCATCATAACTTCAGAAATGTTCATCAGCCCTGGTTACCATTAACATCCCACCTGTCTCCGCACCCCCACAGATCCCTTTGAGAATTCAAGACCAGTACTAACACTTGTAGTGAATCCTTTCTAATGTATTTCACTGCCAGCCACACAGGAAGAATTCTCTATGGTGTTTCTGTAACATCACATGATTGATGGAGATTTCCCACAGTGGGATCCACCTGCATAGGTTGTGTCAGCCCTGTTACCTGAAGGCCATCTTTCCCTCAACACATCTATAAAGCCTGAGCAAGGACCAGCAGGCCAAGAAGGGGCGGGGGCACTTGAGGAAGACATTCTGTTCTCTCCTTGAGCTATTCCTCTGGCACGGCCCCTGGAGAAGACGAGACCAAGGGGAGTGGAAGAGGTGCCCTTCCGTGACTGGCCCAGCAGTTCTGTCTGGCGGGCAGTGCTCACGTCCAAGGAGGCGGGAAGGTGTGCCAATTCTAGAGGCTGCTTAGGGAGAGGAGAGCCCACCTCAGAGACTGAGACAGGAAGCTGGGTCTTTGCCAATTAGGAGGAGTTGGGGGCCACCAGAGTCGTTTCTGCCCCTGCCTCTACAGAGCCAACCTAAACTCCCTTCAAATAGACAGCTTGAAGGAGCCTGGATCCCCAAGGCCCTTACTTGTGAGCCGAGAAATCTCTCCCTTTGTTAGTGGAGGGGAAAGAGCCAGATAGAAATCAGCCTTGAGTCTGTGTCCTTGAAAGAAGGGAAAGAGGGAGAAGGGGGAGATTAGGAGCTAAGAAGAAGCAGGTTTCAGAGGAAGTATCCTGTACCTCCTGTGGGTATCCCCACGCTGCTCCCCTCCCATCCCTATGTACCTGCCCCGGGCTGGACACGGTCCCTCAGAGGACTGTAGCCCAAACTAGCTGTCACCATTTCAACATCCGTGACTAGAAGAGGTTCAGAAGAGAGGAAGCATTTCTCTCGGCCAGAAAGTGATACAATCAGTAGCTAAAGAAACAGGAAAGATTCAAGCGATTAAAAGGGAGTCCCCCATCCCACTCCACCCCACAGTACAGAATGGACCTGCGGGCCACTGCCATCTGACAGTGGGGAGGGGAGGGGCACCCTTACCTCGAATCCCAGAGTTCCATCCCAGGGAGCAGACCCTGACCCGAGGACAGTCCTGTCCAGCAGGAAGAAAAGAACGGGGTGTTGGAAGTGGAGGAGAGAGAGAAGACATACCTTTGCATAGGCTGTTCTTGATGCCTAAAACCCACTCCTTAACATGAACCCCCTTTTCCCCTGTTGCCATTGAATCATAGTAAAAACCCGGAGACATCCCCCAAAACTCACTGCCAACGAGGCAACAATTGGCTGTAAATCTCTACGGGAGCAGAGCGCCTCCTCTTTCTCCTGTGCAGGAGCAGCTGATGGGTTGCTGATCTTGGGGTTTGCAGCCCAACCCATAACCCACCAGGCCATCAGGGCTGCCTCACTCACCCAAGGCCAACTTTCTCCTCCTGAACCCTCCCCTATCTTTTCAAGTAGTCCCCCCTTCTGTGGTATACTACTGGTTATAATTGCATTTCTGCCTTCTGACGCCCGCCCCCCACCCCTGGAAGAAACACTAGTTGAACTGCTAGCCATGTTCTTCTCTAGCTTCCCTGCTGCGAGGGACCGGACTACCCTTACCTTTATTTTGATAGCTCCCGTCTCCTCTTCATGGAGGAGGCACAAGAGAGGGAGGCCCCTGCCCTTGAAGGCCTGGGGAGGACGACAGACACTTGGGTCCTTGGGAGTTGGGACAAAAGGCATAACAGGGACCTGAGCCCCCAGAGGCCATCCCTCTCCAAGGTTTTTCCTGGGAGGCGTGGAGGAGGGGCCGTCTGGTCTTTCTCAGCCTGCTGTTCTGAGATGTTGTCACGTGCGTGCGTTCTGACGCACAGCAACCGTAAGGAGAAGAGCCTGCTGAAGCTGGCTGGTCCTGCACCTCCCACCGTCAGTGCTGCTTGAGGCCAGGCTTGCAGTCATCGCCCTCCTTTTCGGTGACCAGCTGCCAATATCTTTCTCCACACACTGGGCCCTCCTGCTACCATCTCACCGTCCAGGCTTCTAAGGAGCCTTCCAGCTGTATTTCTTCCAGGGCAGGTTGGTCTGTTCTGGCAGTCCATGATATAGTCAATATTCTTTGCCAACATCAGCATTCAAAGGCATTGATAATTATTTTTTTTCAGTTATCTATATATTTTAAAAATCACTTTGTTGGGGGCTTGTACAGCTCTTATTACAATCCATATATGCATCCATTGTGTCAAGCACATTTGTACATTTGTTGCACTCATCATTTTGAAACATTTGCCTTCTATTTTTTTTGGATAATTATTCTTATCCCGTCTTATTCATAGTCCAACCTTCACGTGCTGATTGGAAATACTTGGGTCATGAGCAATTTAGTCCTCAAAGTGACATCCTTGCTTCTTAACAACCTTTAAAGAGGCTTTTCTCCACCTGCCCTTTCAATTTATCTTATATGCAAAAGAGTCCATGCAGGAGAGGGGTGTAGGGGTGTAGGGGATGGCAAGCAGGTTCTGTGCACATTCAAGATAGGTGAGGACAGTGACCTGTTTCAAAAGCTACTTTCCCAGGGAATGAAGGCCATAAGAGGGTACCAGGATTAGTTCCATGAGAGGAAAACAAAGGGAAATATTACCATATATACTCGTGTATAAGCTGAATTTTCTAGCACATTTGTTATGCAGTTTTGTGGTAAAATTAGGTGCCTCGGCTGATATTCGGGTCGGCTTATAGTCGAGTATATACGGTAGCCTGCATTAGCCTACACCAAGATGAAATTCAGGAGTTTGGCTGTGGACTCAAAATTTTTGCCACATCCCGGACAATTCTGGTCCCAAGTGACATCCATGAGTCAATGTCCAGGGGTCTTGAAACAAAACACAGAATCAAGCATCAAGGCCACAGAAAGGGCAAGCCACCAAATTACAAGTAAAAGGGGCCTCCAGAGATGCCAGGGGTGGAGAGAGTCCTACGTATCACGAGGCTCGGCTGGGAAGTGCCGTCGCTCAGGGTGGTGATCAAGAGTGGAGGCAGGGGTGAGCCTGGGTGGAAATCCACTTGGAGTTGTGTGACCTTACCGAAACCACACCAAACGCATTGCCCTCAAGCGGGTTCTTAGTCCTAGCAGCCCAATCTAGGGTTTCGGAGGCTGTAAATCTTGAGGAGAACAGACAGCCTCCTCTGTCTCCTTGGGAGTGGCTGGTGGGTTTGAACTGCCGACCTTGTGGTTAGCAGCCCCACACCTAAACCGAAGCACCACCAGCACTTCTTTGGGTGACCTTGGGTACATGAAAAGGGATGTAACCTCTTTAGCATCAATTTCTCCAATAAGGACGATAATAGTTCCAAAAATTTTTCATGAAAATCTAATGAATGTAAAATGATCAGCCTGGTCTAGAGAAACAAACAAAAACAAACTCACTGCCACCGAGCCGATGCCAAGTCCGAGCCTCCCGAAAGGAGCCTCACATGCAATGTACAAATCCAACTCATTTCCTCCATGCCCTGCTCCTCCATTTCCTCCCAGTAACGACCACGTGGGTTCCTTCAGACGCACCCACTGCATCCTGCTTCCCCGCCCCAGACCGTGGGATTCCGGGAGTTGGCATCGCGCAGGGGAACCAGAGCCTCTTCCAGGAAGGAGAAACTGAGATGGAAGAAGCCATCTGCCCTTTGAGAAGCAGCTCATTGGAGGCTAGCCAGAGACACAGCACGGAGGGCTCAGGTGGGTCAGATTCAGGGGCAACTCCAGATGGGGAGACGTAGAAAACGTGCCCGGATCCGTGCCCATCTGAAGAAGTGCACCCTGCTATAGAGAAACTGTCCCATCTGCCTTTCGAATCCCTCCACTGCCCACATCCTCTATATACAGAGAAGGCGCCTGTACAGACAGCTCTGTCCTGCCATTTCATCCCCTGGCCATCCGGAAGTTAGTTCTGATCCAGCCTTAGTCTCCTCTTTCCTTCCCCCGAGAAGGAGGGGCGTCATCCCCTCCCCAGGTAGGATAGGGGAGAGGGCCAGGCACTAGGGACGAGCAGCAGCTCTCATCAGGACCAGCTCCTCTCCCGAGGAGGGCCTGTGCTCTAGGGACCTTCAGAAGAGCCTGCAAGGACCTTTTGCCCATGACCGCATCCGTTAACGTCTCTGGTGCCCAGACTGCGGGGGCTACCATTTGATGCCCTCCACCACTGACCTCACCCGCTTCGCCAGGCTGCTCTCAGCCTCTGCCTCGCAGGCGCAGAGGGCCAGAGGCAGCGCTGGGGCACCCAGGAAGCAGACAAAACAAGCCTTGGGCGTGCCGGCCCCGCCCCGCCCCGCCCCTCCCACTGCCGGGCCCGGATTGGTTGGTATCTCGGGCGTTCTGATTGGCCAGTGTCGGTCAGGGCTGGGCATTCGCGCGGCGCGGAGCTGCTCTCCAGCCGCAGCGGCCACCCCGAAGGGTTTCCGTGGTTACCCACGGTGGTCCTCTATGCGAATCGATACCGTTCCGTGCTGTGGTTCCTGCAGACGGCGTGCACCCACATACGGGCGTTGTCCCCCTAAAGAACGGCGCTCACCTTGATCCCCAGCCCCTAGCTGAGAGCAAATGGGAAGAGACAACGCGAAGCTGCCCGAG